GTGGAATAGTATGGGCCATTGCCTTTCAAATTAGGGGAAAATATCCAATTATTTCATCTTATTTCCTTTGCTCTGATTGGCAGGAGCAGCAGGGGTCTTTCTGAAGGCTTATTCATAGCAGTTGAAGAGAAAAGGATTAGCACTATTTGCTGAGAGTAAAAGAAAGAATGTAGTGCTGAAAGAGATGTGGGCATTCTTTCTATTCCTTCCATTTCTCCCAGTTCCAATGAAGTGAAAGATAACAATTTGTTGTCAAGGGTAGACCAAAGACAGAGTGTCTCAACTGCCATAGAGGTGCATGAGAGGGACATGGTAAGAGTTCTTGGGATGGCAAGCTCTATTAAAAAATTACAGAATTTATTTTTGAAAAAAATGCAGCCCATTTGTTATTTAAATAGTAAAACAACCACAAGGCATTTTACTGTTCCTGCACTTACATTTGTATACTATGGATGTTTAATAGTCTGAACATACTGTGAACATTATGGTGAGGCTACTGCATCTGAAGGCATTTTTAAAAGTAACGTTTTTTATTTCAAAGCACATGGATCAAATTTGCAAAATATAGGAATGTATTTTTAAAGGCCACAATTATGCTGCAATATATCCTTCTAGTCCAGTTTTTGAAGTAATGAGTACTTTTTAACATAATTGGTATCATACTTGAGGTACTATTTTACAATTTTTTTTCACTTAATGATATATCCTGGATTTTTTTCCACATCATTATATGATACATTTCTGGATAATTTTTAATAGCTATATCATATTCTAATCTGAATGCACCATAGTTTATTTACTTATCTCCTATTTTTACAATGTCCAAATATTTTACTTTAAGATGGTTTGAAAATTCATGTAGACAAATCTTCCTACTCATACAGAGTTATTTCCTTGGGGTAATTTTTGCTTGGCTTAAACATGAATATTTTTAAGGTTTTTAATGCATTATAACTCATTGTTCTTCAATAAGATTATACTGATTCACAAGCCCAGCAGTGTTTGTAAGTATCCACTCTCTTACTTCCTAACCAATACTGGGTATTATAGCTTTTTAAAATTTTGATAAAAAATTATATCTGTGCATTTATGGCTTTCCTTTTTCACTCACCTGAGCATAGCCTTTGTTAATCTTTTTTCCTTGTTTCTTATTCTTTAGTATTTAATTTGGAAATAACTTCACATTCGTTGTCTGGATAATAACAGTTCAAAGAGCACCCAAATAATCTTTATCCAGACTAACCTATTGTTAACATTTTAACCCATTATTCTACCTCTGTGTTCCTTCTATTTGTCCCTCTCTTCTTCCCCTTTGTCTCTGCCAACTCTCCTTGATGCATATTAATAGATTCTTTTCTTCCTGAGCCATCTGAGAATAAGTTGCATACAACATGGCCCTTTTACCTTTAGATACCTCAGCCTGCCTTTCTTCAAGACAGAGCTATTTTACATAACTACAGTTGAATAATCAATGCCATGTGTTTACATATACTGTAATAATTTAATTTACCATCAACTTTTCAATTTTATCAGTTGACCAGATGATGTCCTTCACAGCATCATTTTCTCTTATAGTATAGCATCCAGTCTAAAGTCTATTGGATATTTCTTTAACATATTTTATTCAGGAATATTTGCTTAATCTTTGTCTCTTTATGACTTTAACATTTTTGAAGAATGCAGAACCTGTTATGCTTTTTTAAAAATTAATTTTATTGTTACATTTTAGATATACATAATGATCACATTCATTTTAAGGAATTTGTACCTGTACATAATATGTCTTGTTTTTTCTTTTTTGTCCCCAATCCCTTCCCCTCCCTTCAACCTCTCTTCCCCCCTCCTTATTTACAAAAGCTTTGTTTCTATTTTTTCCTTCTATTCTCTTTTTTCCTTTTACCTTCCTTTCTTTCCCCTTCCCTCTCCCTGTTCGCCTTCCCATTTGAACATTTTTGTCCTCTTTTCCAATGTCTATTATATATTTTGGTCCTTATTTATCCTTTTGGTTTCTCACACCAGAGGAGCAATGTCATATTTAAATGTGTGTCTGATTCATTATGGTTTTTTAAAATAAAAATTTCCTCACTTTGTATTGGTCTGATATTTCCTCATTATTGGATTAAGGCTATATATCATCAGGTAGAAAACCATACAGATGGTTTAGGAGAAAAGTGAAAGCTCTCATTTGCCCTCTGAAGTGATCTGATGATAGATGAGCACAGGGATAATCATAGGAGTGTGATTACCCTATAACCTAATAAGATCCAGATGCTTTTAATATCTTGCTTAAAAGGGGAATGGAAATGAGGAACATGAATATTCTGAGGGGTAGTAAATTATGTTAGATGAATGAATGGGTTGATGCTCAGACAATAGTTAATAAAATGACACCCTGAATGGGTCTAGAAAATTGGCAGTACTTATCCATTTGTGGCAATATTTGTCTAGGTGTGGTTTCATTCTTTAATCTTCCTTTCTGCAGATATGAATTTAGTTAATGAAAACTCAAGAAAGGGATCAAAGGTAATTATTTTCTTCTTTGGCCGTCCAGTCTTTAAACAGATAAGGGTACATCAGAGTAGACTTTCCTTTAGCACCTGCTGCTCCTCAGGTCCCCTATGTTGGGCGTATCATTTTCTGAGCTCCCACTGTGGCAGTGTGTCCTCAGGACATCAGATCTAGAGGCTCACCATACACCTCTCACTGGTGATGTTAACTTTGATCACCTGGTCCAGGCATTGCTCAGTTTGTCCATTATATATTAATAGAGGAGGAGCCATTCCCTTTCATTTAGTAAGAAGTATAGAAGAAACACTTTTAATACATGTAAATCCCCTACTTTTCACCAAAATATAACAATTATTAATGATTTTTGCCTGATCCAATCAATACTGTAGTGAGGGTAATTTTTCCAACTCCAGACCATCCTCCCCATTTATTAGTCCTTAGCGCTCTAGTATAAGCAAGAGCCTCCATTTATTCATTCACTCATTCATTCTACAGACTCCTGCATTCCTATTTTTTAATTTTTATAATTCATACTTAATGATTTGAGTACTCAGATCATCCCAGGCTCAATAAGTAGGAGCCTCATTTAAACTGATTGTTCTGATACTGGAATCTGATGCTACCATCTTTTATAAGCACTTCTTCCATTTTGGGGATGATAAGATGTCTCAAATATATGAACTCTGCTCCAGCTTGGAAACAGCCATTTCATTAAGGGGAGCTGGTGCTGGAGGCCAAGGTCAGGAGCGTGCTCATGTGCTGCTTGGCTATGATGAGGATTCCATCACACCTGTCAAGTCATGCCTTTCAGAGTCGTGCAGTTTGTTGTATGCCAGTGCAATACCTTAATGGAATTATTTTACAAAAAGGGGGGCAATGGAGGAAATAGAATGTTTTTAAAGGAATTATAATAAGAGCAAAACTTTAAAAAGTAATGTTGGCAGATAACACTTAGAAAATAAAACTCCAAAGGCAGAGTAATTGCCATCACACTCATGGGGATGGTTACTTTTAGGGAGGAGGTAGTTAGTGGGCAGGGACTGGAACCGGGTCATCAGCGGCTTGTAGGGTTGCTGGTAAAGTTTTGTTTTTGACCTGGATGGTAGTAACCAGAATGTTTTCCTAATAGTAATTAATCATATTTATATATTTGTTTTATGCAATACTCTATCTTAAAATTTGTTAAATTTTACAATGAAATGTTTAAAAATGAATGTTTACATGTTCATAATTTTTATCATTTATTACAAATTAAAATAATTCTACAAATAAGGCAGATTTCATTTATAACCTAATGATATATTTCATAGTGCTGTTTGTAAGCTATTTTGGAGTTCATTCAGAAAATGACTTGATATTATCAATGAGCATTCTAAATTAAATTCGAATATAAATCTTTCTTAATGTATTAACAATTTTGATTATTATTATAAAACTTAGTCATATAAGATCAAGCCAAATGTTTGGTTCTTTTAAATAGTTTTTATTTTCTGCTAAAATTTCTCGTCTTTTTATTAATAAAAATTTTTCCATTATGTCTTTGAGAAGCGTTATAATTGCTCCTTCAAAACCCTTTGGCTGCTAATTTCAAAATCTAACTCATCTCAAAGTCAGTCCCTATTGACTTAATCTTTCTCTTAAGAATGATTCAGACTTTTCTGTTTCTTTATATCTAGTTAAATAATTTTTTACTTCAGTGTGGATATTGTGTTATGTTGTTATGGAGATTCTGGATTTTGTTTTATTCCTCCCCCCAAATGTTGCTGATGGTGGTAAGGATAGTTAGTGCTTTAAGCAGACAATTAACTTGGTTGGCCTCAAAATACAAATTCAGTCCCTAGGGCAGCAGCTCAATCTCAGTCCAGTTTTTTTTATCTGTAATGAGGCTTTTTGGAGTCTGCTCTGTGTGCTTGTTAGTTCGAGGCTCAGACCAATTTATATGCAGTACAGTATTTGAGACTCCCTTTCTCTGCCTCTCTCCCATTCGGGGACCCCCCTTTACTTTCTAGCAGCTGTGACTTCCCCCAAATGCTGTCCTCTGATTCTGTGGGCCAGAAAGCTTTCACTTTCCACCAGTTTTAGTTTCCCTGTGTGGTACATACTGGGACCTGCTCTCAGGCTTAAAATCATTTTAAAAAGCAACCTGATTCTATGCTGCCATTTCATTCCAAGTGTCAATATTCCTCCAGAATCTGCTTTTGGTCACTTTCCAGTGCCTTCACAGAAGGATTGTGGTTTTCTGTTTTGTTTGTTTTAGATTTTTAAATTTTTTTTTAATATCCAGAGTTTATTCTTTTTATTTAAATGTAAATCTGATAGGAGCTAGCATAACTACTATAGAAGTGGACTGAATGTTTATTTCTTTAAAGAAATAATAATATGAAGTTGCTAAGAAATTCTACAGATGAGTTAAGTAATGATATAGAAAACACTTATACTTTAACTACTTTGTAATAGTTTTAACTAATTTAAATACTTTTGTATTATTTTAGGATTAAAACTAATGAAGCTGATGACTGTCAAAAAGAACTTAGAAAACTAAGTTTGAATCCATTATTGCTGAGTCACGGTATATACCGCAAATTTTAAAATTAATATTTATATAATCTAATTTGAAGCCAAATTTTAAATTATATTTTATTTTGAATGTACTTCTTTTTTCTTGTTTTTTACATATGTAATACCTAATTTAAGCTCATAATATCTTATAGTTTTTCATTGCTGTTTACCTCTGCCTAATAGAAGAATTTTAAGGTCATAGTATTATCCATATTCTTCAATCTTTAATTTTTTTATAGTTACAGTTTAATTTTTATGTTACAGTTACAGTCTATAATTTCAAGTCAAATTTCCATATATCTTTGGTGAACATAAAAACATATCTAATGCAAACTGGTGGGATTTTTTTCTGTTCCTTTTTAGGCACACTAGGTTGCTTAAAGAGAAAGAAGACTCTTTAATGACTTGTCAACAAATATATAAAACTTTACAGGAAGAGCTGTTTATGAAAGAAAGGCAAGAAGAAGACACAAAAAGAATTCACCTTGCCGAAAACGAACTGCAGATATCCAAAACTCTTCTGAATCAGACAAAGGAAGAAGTTGTAACACTGAAAAATGAAAGGTACAGTCAAGAATAATTTCTTACAAAAATTTTTTATGCTTAATATTCCATATACATTTGAAACATCATTGCCCTACATATTATATTAATGAAATTATAGACATATTAAAGACATATTTATTCCCAAGGTCACTGTATCTCACTACCTCATTTTACAAGTGATTAAACTGAATCCCAAATTAGTTTAGTGATGTGTAAAGTGTCAGTCAGCTAGTAAGGGTAAGGATGGGACTCAAGTTGCAATTGATATCAGATTTTATTGAGAAAAACCACATCCTATATAATACTTGTACTACTAAATTTCACCTGGGCCAGTGATAGGTGTATTCTTTCACTTTTCAATAGGAAAATGTCTTTTTATATCAGTTATTTTTATTTTTGTTTTTGGTGGTACTCGGTATTGAACCCAGGGCCTTGAGAATACTGGAAAGGCCTTTTATATCACTTTTCCTTTTTATTGGTTTCTACTTTTCTTCTCCCTTCCTTATCAGTCACCACATTTTTTGAGAGCTACCACAAGCAAAGAGACTTCCTCAGGTGATACTGAGGATGCTAAGAAGCATTCCAAGAGTAACACATGATATAGGCTGTTTATTTTTCATTCTTCTTATCATTCTTTTTTATTTTTTATTTTATTGATTTCATTTATGAATATAATTTAGAAGATTTCTTTTTTAGTATTTTTATATAGGCAGCTGAGGAAAAGTGGAAGTGGGGCTAGGGGAGTGGGTAGATAGCTTAGAATTGGGTAATTAGATTTGTTGTCTTAAGAACTCTTTCTCCCTAGCACAATGCAATGCGTACTGTATTGATTTCTACTCCAGGTTAGCAGGAGATCTTTGTAGTTCATATGGAAACAAGGGTTGTTTCTGGTCCTTTTCTGAGGTGATTTTACATCTACTTCTCTGTAATTGAATAAAAAGAATGGCAGAGCTGTTTCTCTTCACCTTTTCTTCTTTATCCTGATACCAACAATCTGCTTCTTGCAAAGATAGTGGGCCCAGGGCCGGGGATTTAACACAGTGGCACCACTCCTGCCTTGAAAGTGCAAGGTCCTGAGTTCGGTCCTCAGTACCAAAAAAAAAAAGATAATGGGCCTTGAACTTATGTAGCTCTTCACTCCACCCCAACTACTCTGTCATTTCATGATTATGTAGTTGCTCAGTCGATAGCATACTAGAAGCAACAATTTTATAACCAGGAAATTGACAAAAGCCATGCTTACTAGTAAGAGAAGGAATAACAGCTGAAACATTGAGCAGACATACCCAGAGAGAACTATATATGCAAACAAAAACTAAAAGCTTTGCAATTTTCTGCATATGATAGACAAATAACCCTACACACATCAGTAAGAGTGTCTTAAGAGTGTCTCTATATTTTTAATAGGTTAATAACATTGGTCATAATGATGACCCTGAATCCAGAAGATTAAAATCAGTTATATATTCTATATAAAAGACACATCTTTGAAAAGATGCTATGAAGTAAATATAAATTTTAAAAGTCTTCGGTTTAGAACTTTGACTGTTTGATGAATTCTTACATTATTAGGATACCACATTTCCAATGACACCAAGTTAATAGGCTTAACTGTTTACTCAGATGCTTGCTGTCTCCTTCACAATAGTCATTGAGAAGATCTATCTTTGCTCAGATGGATCTCATATTCTTCTCTGAGGATGGTTGTAAATCTATCTAGGAAATACTATTTGGGATCAAATACAAAGTAAAATAATTTATTTAAATTATCTCTAACTGCAATTAGAAGAAGGGACTTATGAATGTTTTGATGGTTAGTAATATCAATAGAAGAAATGTAGAGCTTTCTTGTAGGTTTGCTTTGAAGTAGCATATTCAGTTGGATATATATATTTTGCCATGTTTTAAAAAATTTACTGGTATCTTACTTTCAGTTATAAGCACTGAATGAAGAATTTCTTTCAGCTTTCAGAGAATTACATTAGCAAATTCCCTGTTCCCCTTCTATATTTTTCTTGTGTTCTTGCCCAGTTCTTTCTTTGCTCTCTGTGCTTTCATCTATCCAGAAGCAAACATTACTTGCTCATTTGTGGCACTTGGTTTACTGACATGTAAACCAAGCAATGTACTTATTGACCAGTATACAGGATACTGTGTATCCATAGGATTACTCTTAGACATAAGTGTTGTCCTTTTCCTTTGTTCTAGGTTACTTTCAAGTTTTTGTGTGCCTGTTCTCTACTGCCTCCCAGAGCTTGGCACATATATCCACTCAATAAATATTTGTTGATTTTTTATGTAGTTAAGCCTAGGAGACAAAAGTAAGATTCTTTCCCACCCCCTTGCCTGTTTCTGTGGGTTATTTAGCTGTCTCTTTTTAAGTAGATGGTAGCAAAATATCCAGGGTCTGGGCTGGGGATTTAGCTCAGTGCTTCTGCCGTCTGCCCCGCAAGCACAAGAACCCAAGTTCGATCCCCGGGACCAAAAAACAACAACAACAAAATATCCAGGGTCTAATCTGTAGTAAGCCAAAGGGTTAAAAGATATCCTGAAGAACAAATGACTCTGGAAGCTTCTGGAATTACCACTCAAGCCTGCAATGAAACTTTGTCTTCTCCTCGTGCCCAGAGCAACCTGTTAACCTGCCACTTTCCCTGTCTCTATTTTGGCTTTCTCCTTCCCTCCTGCAATCAATGGCAGACATTCCCTAAGATTCAGGAATGAACTTACTTTCCTTCAGTAAACTGACCTTGTCTCTCAGCTGAACAAGCTTGCTCTTGAAGCTGTGATATAAAATGCTAATGGGGCCACTAAATAAAGGTGCCTATAAGCAGTTGGAGGAAAGGACATGCCTCCAAAAGAAGCTAGGCTCCAGGAACACGGAATACACCTAGAGATGCTTGATAATACCCAGGGAGATTCTTTTTGAGAAGGTCTGAGCAGTGTTTTGGAATTTGCTACACTACAGAGTCCAAAACCATTGCTGTGGAAGTATTGCACCCACCTAGGCTGCCAGATGGAGTCACCAGAGGCAAAGACCAACTTCTCCCAGCAGCAGTGTGTGAGTTTGTAAATCCAGGTTGTCTCTGATAATCCCACTCCTCCCCTACTCCCCACCTCTCAAGACAACAGAGCCCTTGCTGGGGTCACAAAATGTTCAATTTAGACACTATGCAGTTTCAGAAAAGGAGAGAAATATATAAAAAGCCAGAACTGACCCTAGGGGGAAAAAACTGGCAGAACTGAATTTGGAGGGGGAAGTAAATTTATAACCAGGAAACAGTTCATCCATTACTACAAATCTATTTAATTATGCATTGCTTCCTCCCTCACACTCAGCTGAAGGAGCTGTAGTCAGAAGAGCCTTCACTGAAAGGAAGAGAAGTAGGTCTCTTTGGATTACAGGAATTGCAGTAGAGAAGGTCTGCCACACATTGAAACAGCTGAGAAAGGCGTCCTTTGTGGATGAGGAGGAATGTAGCTAGTGCCAGAAAACTGTGGCTAGTCCTTAAATTCTCTACAAAGAGAACCCTCAGGCTCCTCTTCCTGGGGTACAAGATGTCTGGGACCAGGCCTGGAACTCTTTCCTGAATGTAGTTCAGCATACTGTGGATTAAATATGTTCTGTGGGCTGGTCTGGGAGCCTAATTCCATTTTACGGAAAACTATTTTCCTAGTAAAAATATGTTCTAAATTTCCTATAACAAACTTATACATATATTTTATAAAAATATTTTATAAGCTTGAAAACTTGCCTATTTGTAATGCTTAGAGAATTTTGCTTATACACTAGAATGTGACCTACCACCATACAGCTAGAACACATCTATTTATAATCGATCTCTCACCCTTTGCCTTCTCAAATGTTATATTATCCCTATCATGGCAAATTCCAAGAAAAAAAGTATAGGAAAACTTTCCTATATGGGGTCTATTTTCCCATAAAACGTTGAGAATGGCAAAGAGCATTGTTAGAGGAAAGCTTAGTTGTAATTAAAATTAGGTGCAAGATGCTCACATGTAAATTATTCTGTGTGATAAATAATATATGTCTGTAGCTATTTGTCTCTTACTTGCTCCCTGTCCTGCTGAAGCATATTTTTCACTCCATTACATTAACTTCTCTATTATCTTTTCTGTGACTGTTTGAGTTGAAAACTATAAACCTTCCCTGTAGAAAAATACACATAAAATCTAGCAATTATTATAGGAGGCCCATGAGTCTCTTGTCTTTCTTTATATGTCATGACCCCATGATTAAACATACTTGCTTTCTCATTCTATCCTTTTCCCTCCCTTTCTTCCAGCCTCCTTCCCTGTTTTTTTTCCCCTCTCCTCCTCCTTCCCCTTCATCCATCTTGGACCTCTCACACATGATCCACACATTTCATAGTCTTCGGGGGCCATTAAATTCTTCTGTGGAATATTTTCTCATTTTCTCTACACACTGGCTTAGACAAGATGATGTCAACAGTGGAGGAACTAAGGGTGCCTGGATTCTACTCTCCCCGCCTCTTGCCCCAGAAAAGAGATTCGCTTTCCAGCTTAAGTGTTCCTGTCCTTATCAACGCCTGAGTCCATAGGTTTGATCCCAGAAAGACAGAGCACTTTTTCTAATTTACCAACCCAGATGGGAAGCCACTTTCAATTTTGTACAAAGAAATTGACTACCAGACCTCATCTATGAAACAGGTGTCATTTTTCTGATTTTATAGATGTGGATATTAAGGTCAACCAAGGGTAAATTTCTTGGTTAAGGCCACGTAACTGGCAGAGAGAAAATTCAACCCCAGAGTGTCTACTCAGTTTCCCTTCACAATTTAAACACTTTCCTCAGCATTTGTCTTGAAGAACTAAGTTGTATCAGTTATTCTGTGTGACTTCTTTTTCTCAATTTTGTGGTGACAATGAGTCTTCAAGGGACTCACTGTCCTGCAGAAGGCAGAAAAACCTAGAATGCCCCTTTTGGGTCTCCTCTCCTCCCTGTCTTACCCACTCCCATTCACTCACCAAGCACT